GCCTGTGGGCAGGTGGGACAGTTGAGGGTGTTCCTTTGCACGTCTGTCACAAGATGATTTGCATGCCTGTGGGCAGGTGGGACAGTTGAAGGAGGTTCCTTTGCATGTGTATGAGTGTCTGAGGTGGAAGAAAGCAAGGGAAGGAACAAGAGTAGTTGTCAACACTCCTTGTATGGGTGTTTGGGTTGTGTTCAGCTCTCGTGTGCCTGGAAAGTTCGTAGTTGATGGTGCCGGTTCTTTAGAGGTAGAAGCTGACAATCCTTTTGGGCAAGTTTGCTGTGTATGTCGTTGGCCAGGCAATTTATCCTCGCAATGTGGGGGAGCCAATGCAGCGGCTTGTGTGGTCCCAGGTTGCTCCGAACACAAAGACAGCATTGTTTCATGACGAATTCAAAGTTCAGCTGCCAATGGTGATTTTGCCAGATCATCATCTTCTTTTCACTTTCTTTCATGTCGAGCTGGAGAGGGATGCAAATGGTCGAGTTCCGAAACCGGTACGGAAATCTTTCAACCTTACTCTGTTTTTCAGATGCAGAACACCCCCTTCCTAAGGGCCCTGAATTCACCTAGAAAAGAAAACACCAATTCCAGATTGATGCTAAATCATTAAACAGTATTGGCTACCGTCATTTTGAGCTTGAGAGGGATGCAAATGGTGATCTGCAAGAGATAGGAATGAGCTTCAGGAGGATGCAAATGGTACACCTCCGTTTGTTGGGTGTGTAGCAGATGACCCACCTGAAGGATCGTTTAAAGCACCAGTACGCCCAAGCTTCTTTTTCGCAGTGCTTGAGGTCTACATGGGAATGCTAGCTTTGGGGTCCTCTAGTTCGAGCCTGACTGCGGCCCTGTATTAATGGGTGTGTGGTAGGGACCTTGTTGCGGCACATTCGTGGTCTAAAAGAGCATGAAAGATGAAGCACCAGTTTAAGGCTAATGCTAAACCGTTAAGAGTATTGACTCCTGAGACATACTTTCCTGCACATTCTTTAGTTTCCAGGGATGCATTTGCCTTTTCCTCAAGGTCATTCATCATAGCCTACCACAGAAGGCTTGCCGGATTGCTGCAAGAACCTTTCCCCTCCGTTCTCATGCTGCACGATCAACTGGCTTGGCTCTTGTCACTTGCTCCTACTGTTGGTATCTTGTCCGTTGTTTGCCTCTCATTACCCTTGTTTCCAGTTGGGTTTGTGTGCAACCGAGGGTTTCCATAGCGTACACTCTACAAGCCATGAACATGCCAGGGTGGTCTCGGCACATGGGCATGAGGATCCCTACATTGCGACCAGACTACCGTCTTCACTCGAATAGAACGCCTGGTAATTATCGCCGTATCTAGAGGTAATAAACGAGCTCAAAACTGTGAAGGCATAAATTACAAGGTCAAGTCAACGCCGTGGTACCACCTGAGCTACGTGGGCTCACGGGGAAATTGGAGACGATCGGACTTGAACTGATAACTTCATACTTGCAAAACATGCGTTCTACCACTTGGGCATTCGTGATAACAAGGCGCCGCTTATACACTGAGCTTCGCCCTTCACTAACCATTTTGTGTTTTTCCAATTTCGTACCTTGCGCAATGCTTTATGAGGCCCAGTAGAATAGGGCAATTCATAGATAGCATCCACAATGAGCTTGAGAAATTTGTCATGCGACTGAAGAGCATTGCCGACAGAGGGTCGTCGATAGAGAGGGCAACCGCCGCAGGTTGCAGACAAAAAGGCTCACTGCGAAGATCCGGCGGCGATCGGAGAGCAGCCCGGGCTGAAAGTTGTGCCAAATACAGCTATGATGACTAGGCGTTCTATTCGGGTGAAGACGATAGACATGGCTCATATTGTACTTGCTGAACTTCTAGGCATGTTGAGATTCAAACAGGCTGAACAGAAAAAAATAAGATCGAGTAGTAGGACTGTAAAAGTAGAAGAGGCAGAAGAGAACTTTGCATGCGAATTTGCATGTCATGCGGTTACTCCTCTAAATGCAGGTGTAACCTGCATGTCAGGTAAGTGAAGTCTGCTAGGGCTGCGTCAACTGTGACATGCACTAGTGCATGTTGTACGGGTCGTTGCTGGCATGTCCAACCGTTGGTTCCATACCGTGGAGGCTTGCTGTTTTCCTGAACCTGGGCATGATGAGCTTGTGGAAATATGGCATGTCCAAATCCGTATCAGTGACAATGCCTTCCCTCTGGTGGTAACTTGCAGCATGGTTCTGCACCAAACTGAAGCAATATTACTGATCAGAGGAGTTGCAGAAGAATTAGCCATCAGTTGCCTCTAGAGCCACATATGGATAAGAGACGACAGGCAAGCCTTGAGTTTGTTTGCGAGTAATATAGCATGTACCATTGCACGAGCAGGCAGCTACAACGGACTACCTCTTGAGTAGTGCCTGCGGGTCGTACATGTCCTGGCATGCATATGTCCTTGTCCAAATGGGGCAGACTGATCTTTCGATTTTCTCACATGCCATGCTGGGCCTCTAAGTGAGCGAGGGAAACCAGGGTTTGATTTCGACAATGTACATTGCAAGTGATTTGTGGGCAAAGTTATGTAAACCTCTTAGGTCATGATAGAGTATGATGAAACGACTCTACAGACTTCTGGGATCTTTATTCGGAACCTTATTGACCATGAAAATTGAAGCACTTTCATGAAGTTCCGTGTGATATCTTGTGATGGAGGAGAGAAAGAGGAACACGTTTCTGTGAGTTTTTGCCAATTTATGAGACTGCGAAGTGTTTTTTAATCGCTGGTATTCTGTTTGGCAACTTGTGTAGTGTTTTTTTAACTGCTTCTTGAAGATCAGTCTGCATGTCCTTTTCCATAGCACCCAGAGCGTTCCTTTCCAAGTATTGGGACGATGAACTGAACGAAGCCTGAGAGTTGCGGTGATTGTTAGGGCTTCTATAGGAATATGGTCTCTGAACTGATCATTATATTCCTGTTTGAGATTGTGGCCCAAGTTCTAGGTCTTGCCGACGTCCTGGGTAAGCCGGTTCTCGTATATCATGGAATCTCCATCCTGATCGATTATTTCTGTGCATGTGGGATTGCTTTTCTGTGCATGTGGGATTGCTTTCTGTTGTGCAGGTTGTCGTTGGATATTCTGTATTGCCTCTTGTTCTAGCAGCGCAGTAAGTTGCATGATGTTAGACATTTGGTACCTCATGTTGGAGTCTCGATCACTTTGCTATTGACATACTCAATGGCAGTGTTAGAGTCTCAGCAGCTCCTGCAGGCCTCACTGTAATCCCTGGGACTCTCTTGCTAGCCAGGGTCTGTAGATGCGAGATGAATTTGCTGAAGAATCTTTGGTGGACTTGACCCTTTCTAGCATTTTCTGCTTGTGATTGTGATCTCAAATTTTCCATCTACAGTGTTATGTACTCTCTTTGTGGTGCCCTGCCTAACTCTCTGGCGAAACAACTCCCGGCTGATTGGTTGTTTGCTTGTCTGTCTTGGTGTGCTGTGTCTGGCTATCAATGCTTTGTGCATCAGCAGCATGGCAATTGCTTGGCATTGTTGTGGAGGCTTGAGGTGAATGTACATCGTTTGTTTGAAAATAAGATTAAAGTCATGTTCTCCTCTCTCCTCCTGTTTGTCTGCGGGCACGAGAGACTGGACCAGATTGAATGTTTATCAGAAGAGACAATGAGTTAGGATTAACTGCTGTATGAGTGGTAACTCTGATGAGGGATGTTCATGGATCATCCTTGACTTCCGCCACAGTAAGTTGTCTGCACGCGGAGTCAATTGGCGTGTCCTGATGAGGGCTGTCAGATTGGTCGATCGTGGGGCTTCATACTTGCTTTGAACGCACTTTGCAGTGTGACCTCCTCAGATTAAGTGATATATATGTGTTTGCATGTGTAGTGGAGGGCCGTCAGAGTGAAGGCATCAACATGGGGAGAAATGTTCAAAAAACATTTAGGTAGCGAGTAACACGTGGGCATGGACAGTTCGAACGCCAAGGGGTTCAATTCAAAGCAAAAATGAAGCCACATGATCGACCAATCGGACAGCCGTCATCAGGACATGGCAACTGACTGCGCATGCAGAAAAACAACTGTGGTGGAAGCCGATGATTCTTCAACATCGCACATCACTCGTACAGCTTCAGTGAGTCTTGCATGTGCAGTTGAGGGCTGTCATAGTGAAGGCCTTGAACATTGGGAAAAAGTTCAAAAATCAATGAGGGAGGGAGTAACGTACGAGAACAAACATATTGGAGGGGCTTTGAAAAGGTCGCACTGTTGGGGGCATGTAAGAGAATGTGCTGGCAGTTCGTCGAGTGTCTAACAAAGGAATTGTGTTGACGGAAGCACATAAGCGAAGGTGATGGCAGTTTCTTGACAGCTCCAAATAAGGGAAAAAAAGGAGGTTGTGTTGCCCCTAAGTGAAGCAAAGATCTTGCAGTGTCGCACCACCACCACCGCCTGTTGAAAGCGTCGAAGGAAAAAAAGTTTGCACTTCTCCCAAGAAAAGCCAACGTTTGTGTGGCAGCCCATGCCCTACCAATGGGCCTGCTGTAGACTTGTGGTAGGTATCATACAATCAGGCCGTACAGAAGCTGGTAGGCTGGTGTCAGTCGTGAGGTAGCTGTTGTCTGTTGTCCATGTCAGTCACAGCTCAGTCCCAGGAAAGTCCTGATTCATTTTGGCAGTGGCCAAGGTAGGAAAGAGATCGACGACACAAGTCCAATTTGGGAACTGTAGCAAGTACAGAAGTGAAGTCACAGCCAGCATCAGTACATGCTATCCTCTGTGAACGAGTCAAGGAAGTTGATTGAATGAGTCGGCAAAGGCAGGAAAAAGACCGATGTGGTCTTGAGATGCCTTGATTGAATAACTGCCAATGTCTGTCGTTTATCATACCAGCAACATGCTATATTTTGTGAACGAGTCAAGCCGGAGCCCAACCCAGGAAGCTGTATGCTCATTGGTACTACGCAATGACTCACCAGATGTTCGGTCAGCATGTAATCAACATTCACTGTATTTGGCCGTTTTGACTGTATCGGCCCTGTAACTTCTGTAAGTCTATATCATGATATTCCTGATGACAGTTTCTTTCTGCACTCTGTGGTCCTGGCATGAGCGTACCATGGTGTGTGTGTGTGTGTGTGTGTGTGTGTGTGTGTGTGTGTGTGNGAGAGAGAGAGAGAGAGAGAGAGAGAGAGAGAGAGAGAGAGAGAGAGAGAGAGAGAGAGAGAGAGAGAGAGAGCTATTCTCCACTATTACAGGTGAGCTTATCCCTCTATTGCGGGTGTTTGGTTGCCTGTCTCATCTTTGCAGGATGCTGAAATCTGACGGGAGCCTTCCAATCATCAAGGAACCATTGCTAAAACACTACACAAAAGACCATGTCAAGGTGAGATCATCATATTCTGAGTATCTGTCTGCCCTTTAACAAATGTATGTCCTTGCTTAAGAAGGAGATACGCTCTGATTGTGAATTTCTTTTTGTCTTACACTATGCCTGCAGATATACAACATTTTTTGGTTATCGCTCCTATTCTGGGACAAAGACTCAGTTCTTATTCCCTCACCAAGTTCATATGCATGATTTTTGTTTTAGGGCAGGTTCCTCCCCACTATTCGACTGGGGATACCAATGACATTGGCAAGCATGAAGACTCTTCTAACCACTTGCTGGGTTGTGAATCCCCCAAACCTTCATTCAATGTCCCTCACATCGAGACTCACATCAAATCACTTGCTGCATTGTGAACCTGCCATTGCAACAGAGTATATTAAGACTGGCACCCAGTCGACGAATTGCTGGATTGGATTCGTGCTTCCGTCAGTGACCTCTTGAGTTGTGCCAATCTTTCATCGCCTAATCCTGTTCCATTTTGCAATCGTTCCTTACAAAAGCCAGACTTTCTCGGAACTCCTTGAGCCTTTTCTCCGGCAGTCTGCATAGGCTTTCTTTGATGATCGCCTGAGACCTTCTCCATCCACAGTGAATTGTATGTCCCCCCCCCCCCTCTTCAGAACAAGGGAGACGATCCATTTTGGGTTTTAGCTGAAGTGACACGAGTGTAAGGAATATGAGTGAGAGTGATAGACAGAAATCCAAGTTGCAAAATCACGAAGTCCAGATAGTCATGTACCAAGCAGAGAGCTCAATGCACCACGATACCATCCAAATAAGAGCAGTACAATGAACTAGAGTGCCAATCTGGTCACACCAACACTGTATCCAATGTCGCTCCTTCTGTCTGGCACCCAGTGCCCAGCCTATACTACTCAGCCTAACTAGCCTATCTACGTTCATACAACTGGATCACATCGAAGTCGAAAACCAATGTATGTGCCGTCAACACCAATGCTGATCACCAACATACACCAGGTGTGTTCTCTCTCCTCCCCTCATCACACCTTGACCCCCTCTGCATGCGCCTCCTACCCGAAGACCACCATCGCCATCACCTGTCTGCGCCCCTGCAGCCCGGCTATGGCTGCTGTGTGCCCACTGCCTCAGCAGCGCCCACTGCCTCAGCGCCCGTGTGCCTGTCCGATCAGCAGCGCCCATGCAGACATTAGTGCAGCAACGCAGCAGCGTGTCCGCATTGCCTGCAAAGGCCAGAATGCCTGCCCAGGGAGTACACACTTTACTTTATGGAAAGTATGTCTGCTGGTGGGCCGGTCTGGCCAGGCGTGTGGGGACCCAGTAGCTTGCCTCTGGGCCCAAGTGTCTGCACCCAGGCCCAGTTCCAGATACTGGCCTGGGCCTCGTGCACTTGGGCACGTCCAGGCAGCCACCCAGCCTCGAAGTGTTTGCAGCATTCTCATTGGCTCGCGGCACATCTGTGACGACAATGCTGCTTTCTCATTGGCCCGTAACCTGTCCGTGATGTGTCGGCCTCACACAGCGTGTGCCCAGGGCGCAACCACTTGAGCCCTGGGCCCAACTGTACAGCGCAGCCCTTCGCTTCTGGAAAGAGCCTGGAGGCTCACGTTGCTCTGTAACCAACTGGCGTGCGGCAACTGTCTGAGTACCCACATATGGAAAGATGTCGAAAACAGGCCTCACGTGGATATTCTGGCCCGCCTTCACTTCGGGCGGGCACGGGCTTGCTGGGGGGCACATCCCAGAACACTTGTATGTCTGATAAGGGCTCCGTGAGGCTCATTCCTCGCATTCCATCCTCGCTGTGTGAATTCGGATATGGCATGCTACTTGGGATTGTTTGCTGTAGGACGGTGGAAGCTTACTCGTCTCCATCTATGTGATCGTGCAGGTGAACATGGAGTATCTGGAAGAGGGGCGGCCAGTTTTCAGACTCCGATTAAGACTCTGCTCTTCCATCTACCCAGTGGATGAAAGAATCCGAGACTTCTTTAGTGAATACGACAACCATGTGTTGGGGTCTGCCAGCTCCACGAGGTCTGGACTCTTGGAGGTGAGTCACTGGGTAAGGTGTAGTCCTTTAAACTTCCCAATCAGCGGCATTGACCCTATGACATGAGAGTGTACTGCCTGTTATGATGTGGAGTTGACGAGTATTTGAAGGGTGTCACCACTTTCCAGGTTGTGCAAGGTGGAATCAAACTTCAAAGGCCTTTTATTTTGGCACAAATTGGCAGCATAAATATGGAGAAGCAGTGCTGTCGTTCAAGATCTCAATACTTCATCCGTTCTTTTGCCGTCTCTTTGGTTTCTGGAAGTGGAGTATTATTTTGGGATAATTCCCTCCAGTAAGAGTTTTCGCCAGGGTAGGTTCTTGCTGCTGATGAGCCTGAGAACCCACTTGTATGTGAGTCTTTGATTTGGTTTATTGGGTCTCCTTGCTGTTTTTTTTCAGGGTTTAGTAGTTCCATCCAACCTTGGTTATGAAACACCTGTTTGGATGGGTCCCCTTGTCATAAGTAGGCGGTTAGTTCGAGTGTAGCTTCTTCCTCTGGTCAGAATGATTGTAAGACAAAGAAGCATGTTGAATAGTGTCGTTAAACAGTCTCCTAAACCATTTCTGGAAATTAGGTCCTGCCGCCATTTTTCCTGCTCATTGCTCAAGGAATAATCCCAGTTCACCTCATCGTATGCCTTTTTAAAGCTGTTATGATCCTGGCCAATTTCGAAGTATACACTCAGCAGAAAGTACAATGCCGTCCAATTGCAAAAAGAAATCAATGAACTTGAGAGGAGAGAGAGGGAAAGAAGAAGAAGTAAGAACGAAGAGGAAGATGATGTACTCGAGCATAGACCAAAGATAATACTCTTCTTCTTCGCCAACCAATCTCCTCCTCCTCATCTCGTCCTCCCTTATTCAAACAAGAAATAACAAGAATAATGTTGAATGGCTGAACCAGAATCAATGTCTGAATCCCACTTCTACTGCAGGCACAACATGAGGTCCACCATAGCCATGGCCACCCTTCCCCTTCCTCTCACATGTAGGCCGAGGCTATGGCGGACTACTGAGGGCTCAACCCTCCTGTCCAAAGGACAACCCAAAGCAGCTATGTCGCTGCCTCCCTGTGCAAAGGACAACGCAAAGTAGCTATGCCGCTGCTCGCTAGGCCGCCATGCCTGTCTCTGCCCCAAGCTTCCTTGGTGCGGCACTCCCCCAATGGGGGCCTTCCAGATGCAGCGCCTAACAAGGTGATGAAGATGGTGTCCACCATAGCCAGGTAGGTACNCCCCCTCCCCTACCGGTAGAGCTCCACCATAGCCAAGGTGGAAGCTCCCGGCTTCTTCCTCCCAGCAGCGCTGTAGTACCCAGCACTACTCCAGCCAGCGCTCCAGCAGCGTGTTGCCAAACTTGCACACTGAAGAATGAGGCCGGGCTCTTCCCTCGGCCTCTTGATATAGTGGCCCACTTGCCTCCTGGGCGGTGACTTCCAGGCCGCTCGGCCTCCCAAGCAACCGGTACCTCCTCCCTTTCGGAGGGAAACATCATTGCAGACTCTGATATTGCCCGTACAGGTTCTAGACTCAGACTGGATGGACTGGCACCGTCCTAGATCTAGCCTACCACTACTGGGCCTCTAAAAATGCCAACTTTGTCTTCTTCTGCTCGGCCTCGAGTACCCGGTACATCTACTGCTACTGGATGCGGTACCGGCCTACCTGCTACTTGAGTGTTTTTCCGCAGCACTAAGCTCCGCGGGCCCCTGGTTCCGCTACTTGAGTGTTTTCCCTGCTGCAACCCTCAATGGCACGGCCACAGGTAAGTACCGGCCCTACGGGCCTGTCAAACAAGCAAGTACCCTTGCGGGTCACACACACACTCATACCGACAAGCACTCAGACAGGCATGCAGGTCAACAAGCACGCACACACACAGACTTAGAAAACTCAGCAGAATGCAGGAATCTCAGCAAGGCATCCATTCCATCGGCAGAACTCCAGAAATCAGCAGTGTTCTCAGTCTGTGTTATGGCGGGTCATTACAAAGCCAAAGAATAGCGTAGCTGTTTTCCTCATTTTGTCCTTGACCGTTTCCACGAACATCATGACAGTATTCGGTATCTATCTGGAAGGGATGAATTCTGTTTGGTGTGTGGAAGCATTCTTATGCTGATATTCATATTCATGATGCTGTTGGCGATGGGTTATTGGTCTTTATTTATGAATGCCTGCTGGATCGACCTCCCCCCCCCCCCCCCCCCCCCCAAATGGGCAAGCCCTTGAGATATCATCTCCAAACTGACTTGCCCTAGGTAAATTCAGAGTTGTTTACTCATTTGAGTTCAGTGGGATCCGAACTGAAGTCTGTAGTTGAACAGTTCATGGGTGTACCAGCTGAGCTGGGGTTGTTGGTAATGCCTGCCGGATTCGTTATGTTGTAGAGTAGTGAGACTATTCCTGTGCTGAGGTACTTTCCCATACCCCCCTTGTCCCAAACTTGATGTAAGACCTTGTATATGCTTCTCCTAGTATTAGCCAGGGATTTGTTGGACCATCTGTCCAAGCATGGTTAATGGGGTTAACCATGTAAAACACTGAAAGCATGATTTGTTGGCCAATGTTTTTTCTTTCGTTCAAGGTTGCTAGGGAGAGGAATATACAGCCTGTTTACGCCAAGCTTGGGACAAGCCAGGGAGAACAATATATGGACTCCTTACGTCAAGCTTGGGACAAGGGTGGTATGGGAGAGTACTACCTTAGGACTGTAATAGTCTCAGCGGATGGTGAGGAATCACGGGGGACTTTGATGGGACATTACAGGAACAAGCGTCCGGAAAATGAGACGGATGTCGAGGAGTCACTAAGGACACATTACCTGAATTTAAGTGGTTTTGCCAAGCTGTTAAATGTTGCCCAACCATCTTGTGATCTGTGCTTTTGATTTGCAGACAATCAACAACTTGAAGAACATGGATCCCATGGCGATGGTTCAGTTCTTGCAGCCAATTCTTAACATGCTGTTGAGAATGGTTGGGGACTGCGGAGAGACACTCCAGGTTAGTAACAGCATGTGAAAGAACTCTCCTTGCACTGATTTGCAGGTACAGTCATTTACAAAGCAGGACTGTACGTGCGCTGATGTGTGTGTGTGTGTGTGTGTGTGTGTGTGTGTGTGTGTGTGTGTGTGTGTGAGAGAGAGAGAGAGAGAG